GATAGATAGATAGATAGATAGATAGATAGATAGATAGATAGATAGATAGATGGAGGGAAAGACAGACAGACATCAAAAAGAAGACATCTTAGGTGCAATAGGTGGTAAAAATATTGTAATTTTTTTGAGATAAGGTTTCTGTGTAGCCTGTCCTGGAACTAGCTCTTGTAGACCAGGCTAGCCTCAAATTCACAAAGATCCACGTGCCTCTACTTCCCGAGCGCTGAGTTAAAGGCATGCACCACCACCACCTGGCTTATGGTAAATTTTTTATTGGTGCTGGAAAATAAAATTAGTACCTGACATGTGCTTGTAAGTACACTATCAGTGAAGTGTATTCCAGCCCAAATATTGAACATTTTCTTCTTAATCATTAAGATAATTTAAAGTGTGTGTTTTGGTTGAATTGACCTCCAGTTTCAGAAAATGCCATTTTATTTAAACAAAATTATGTCCACTCTTGACATTAAATGTTTTTTTATTCATAAATTTTATTACACAAATAGACATTTAATGACTTGTTCAAAAACGAAAAACAATGTCAAATCAATAGGTGGTAAATTTAGATATATGAACATGTGTATATATGTGTATATTTATTACACAAAAGACTTTATGAACATGTAACAAATATCATTAATTATTTTGTAGATATGTAATTTTGTGTTATAGCCAACATAATTTGGAATAATTTTAAATGAATCATATAAGCATATATAAGTACATTGCTTAAGTATGACCAAATATTCAAATACATAGAAATATAATATATAAATAATCCTTAATAAAACTCAAAATAAATATGAATTGAGAAAATGTCATAACACAAGTCAATTTCTCTTTTGGCCATCCTTATGCTGGGGCAGCCAGTGACAGAACATGGCATGTGTCCCTTTGCCTCAATACCATGGTGCTCTCTCTTCTGTGCTCAGAAAGTAAGATGCAAGTTCATGCAACTCTTGTCACCAGGAAAGATGTGCATTTGCTTATGTGGTTTGTTCTTGATGGTAGAACACTAAATACATTTCAGCCTAGTTTTCATAATGGCTTTGAAGACTAATATATATACAAGACTTAATAATGATCTGTCTATTCCATGTCCAACTAGAAAAATGACAATGAACAGAAAATCTCATGGTTGCTTTGATTCTATGTGTAACAGTCACAAGGAAATGATTGGTGCCTGTAATTAATCAGGGAGTTACCACCCTAGTTACTTAGAAGCATATTCCTTCACTGCTGTATGGTGTAGGATTGATATCTAAAACCCTTTTGATTCCTATAGTAAAACATGTACTGTTTTGCTCAGTGGGAAGTCGGATTCTCACAATTACTAGAGGGGAAAAAATCACAAGACTATGCCATCAAAAGAAAGAATTAGAGAAAGAGAAGCAAGAGAATTAGCTTCACAATTTTCTATCTCTGGCTCATGAGAGATTCTAGACGGATACTATGATACCATGATGATGTGTGAAATCAGAGCAGAAACAGACAATCTAAGGGGTTGTCAAATGATCAAAATTCAAGGAAGGTAAACACAGTAAAATAATAAATAATATTGTTTAGTAAAGAATATTATCAAAAATGCTATTTAGAGCAACATTTCATAAGAAAATAACATGTTTAGTATTAACATATTGTCAATGTATTGTATTTTACATTCAGTCACTGCAAATATTTAATGGTATTATAGCAATATTTAGTATTTTATTTATATGATATTAACAAAATCAAAAATACGTTGATATCCTGTGCCTATCATACTATGAGCTATTTCTTAAGTTCTTCATATAAAAAAATGGGTTCTATAATCTTTCAGAATTTAAGTTTTAACATAGAAGTAAAACAGTGGTAGATGGTGTGTTTGTGAAACTTTTCAGAGTAAGCTTTAGTGGACTGTGTGTCTGTGTGTATGGGGTGGGGGCAAGGCATGTAGTTAGCTTTGAGTCTAAATCCAAGGCAAGAAATGTGGATCAAGCCGACTCAGCATCACTGAAGCATGACGACAAAGTTGACAAGAATGAGCCACTTTAAACCATCAATATTTATTAAACACTTACTAAAAACCAGGTTCTTTTCTAAATGCTAAGGTTGTAGCAGGGGATACAAGACCAGGAAGCAAGTTCTTACATATAGGTGGTAAACAAAGAGAAAGTGCAGAGAGAAGAGATATTAAATAAGAAAAAAATTAAACAAATATTTTTGATTAAGTTAAATATGTGAATAAAATGAGTAAAGTTGAAAAGGATGCTAAGGAAAATTAGTATTAGTTGAGAAGAGATCTGAAGATAGAATATATAGGATATGTTGTGTTTGTTATTCTGAAAGGGACACTACAAGCAGAGGGAAAAAGCAGGACTGCTTTGCAAGGAGAGAACAATGAAATTCTTTTGAGCAAAAGTGAAGCGATCAGGAGTCAAGGTGAGGCCCTGTTGTATCAAATAAAAAATAGTTTTCTTCCTTTTTATTACAATTATTCATTCCTGTTGTATGTGTGTGCGTGTGTATAAAACATGAGCATGGAAGTTATATGACCACCTGTCAGAATTGATTTTTCTCCTCAGCCTTTTGGGTTCAGAGGATCAAATTCAAGCCTAAGGCTTGGTGGCAAACACATTTACCTGCTGAGCCATTTTTCTGGCCCTGGAGTATTGAATAGGTGTTAAAAGGGAAGCCATTTGAGGCATTTGATGAAGGGTATGAATTGATTTACATTTTAAGTGATTCACCGCGGTAGAGGAAAGAGCCTAAAGCAAGGATACATAAGTTGAGGCTGCATGTTCATTTCACAGATGCCCAGATCCAAATAATCACACAGAAACTAGATCAATTACAGCACTGTTTGGTCAATGGTTTAGGAGTATTCCTAGCTAGTTCTTACATCTTAAATTAACCCATTTCTATTAATATATGTATCGTCACAGACTATGGCTTCCTGGTAAGACTTGGCATCTTTCTCCTTTGGCAGCTACATGGTGTAAACTATGTGGCATCTCCCTGACTCCACTTTTTTTTCCTCTATCTCTGTTCAGATTTCTGCCTGACTTTATTTTGCCCTGTCATAGGCTAAAGCGAATTCTTTATTAACCAACAGTAATGAAACATATTCACCAAATACAGTGGAGAATCCCACATCAGTTGAGAAGTTATTGCAGTCTTCTAGAAGAATGAGCATGTGTACAGTAGGTGCTTTTGAGCAGAATGAACTGTAGTGAACGATTTAAAATTTATTTAATTTTTAAAATAATATTTTTATTCTTTGAAAGTTTCCTACACTTACCTAATGTATATTGGTCACATTAATCTGCCACTATCTCTCTTTAACTTCCTATATGGTAGCCAACTGTCTGCGCCTCAACTTCATGTTCTCCTTATATTGTTATTGTTATTAATAGTCCGTTGAGTTCAGTTAGTGCTTTCCATATAAGCATAGGTGAGTGGCCATTCACTGGGGCATAAATAACCTACCAACTGCCATATCCCTCAATGAGAATTACTCTCCAACCTTTGGCAGCCTTCAACAAGACCCTTTCCTTGTTTATAATAGAATTTTTGACTGACTTGATTTTTAGCAGGTAACTAGTGTTGCTTTAAGCTGATGTGTACAATGGCCATTTTTGTTTTTATCAAAGTTGTTCAATTATCAATAAAGACTTGGGAGTCAGATATTGGGTTAAACACCTGACAGATCAAAGAAGCTATGGAGGAGCAACCAGCTTGTCATCTCTTAACACTTCCCAGATAGAAGAGATTATGAAATTTCTACGTCCCTCCCTGCTACTTCCTGTGTGTCTTCTCTATCTGTACTCCTGACTTCTCTATGGCAAATTCTGAACAGCTAGTCTCTGGTTCTGCCCCCTGGTTCAAGATTAACTTTATGAACACAGTCTTGGGGTGTCACAGTGTGATCAAATGACCCGCAGCAGCCATTTAAGCAAAATTAAGCAATGTATGGAAACTTTAGGACAATATTGACAAGTGATTAGTGCTGTGTAAATGCTGAATTTTAACCTCTTCCTCTTCAGCATCTTTACTATTGTTTTTTAGACTAGCCGGGCTGTGGTGGCACACGCCTTTAATCCCAGTACTCAGGAGGCAGAGGCAAGCAGATTTTTGTGAGTTTGAGGCCAGCATGGTGTACAAGAGCTAGTTCTAGGACAGGCTCCAAAGCTACAGAGAAATCTTGTCTCGAAAACCCAAAAATGAAAAAAAAAAAAAAAAAAAAAAAAAGCTAGACTAGAAGGCTTAGGAAAAATGCCAGCCGCCATCCC